ATAAAAGGAACTAACATATACTATAAAAACATGGCCTTAAAGCATAATAAATGCTCTCAGCTGCAAGCATCCTCTGAGTTGTTTGTCTTCTGTTAGCCAGTTTGCCGACTCCCTATTCACCTATAATCTTCTTCGAGTAATAAGGCCGAACCCAGTGACTGTGCTGGTCCGCGGCAATCTACATTATTCTTTGTAGTTGCATAGTATTCCATTGTATGTATGTACCACAGTTTGTTTATGTGTTCCTCAGTTGACGGGCACTTAGATTGTTTCCATCTAACAAAGACTTTTTTAAAAAACATAAACAGAATATAACAAAGATAGGACACTTCCCATTGATAACTTCAATCTCCAATTCATAGCCCATACTCCAGCCTTGCCTGTTGTGCCTTTACAACTAATTTTCCCCCTTCCAGCGTATAATCCCAGAGTCACATGTTACATGTAGCTGTCATACCTCCTCACCAGTTGCTGTGTGGACTCTGACTCAGAGCGACCCCAAGTGGGTCAACATAGAGTTATGTTCCCTAGTGCCTGAGGGAGCTAGGAGCTCTGGTAGCATAGTGCCTACGGCACTTGACTGAAAAACATCACCACACAGCTTCCACATTTATGGCTCAATGACCTTGATTGCGTTTTTCTTGTTGTGCCACCATCATGCCCATCCAGAACATTCTGCCACCAGTAACATAAACTCAGTGCCTCCCCCTAAACTTAAGCTCCACTTGCCCCTTCCCTCCCACCTCTGGCTGGTTCAGAAGTGAGATCATACGGTCCTTCTGTGACTAATTTCGCTCTGTGTGATGTTTTCATGGTACATCCATGTTATGCCATGTCTCAGAACCTCATTTCTCTTAGGCTGCATAGAACTCCATTGTATGTCAATACCACATTTTCCTTACCTGTTCTTCTGTTGATGGGCAGTGCAGTTGTCCTTTTGGCTGTTGTGAAAAGTGCTGCAGTGAACACTGGGGTACATACTTCTGTTTGTATTCTGCTGTCCTCCCATCCCTGATAACCAACAAAGACAATTCTTTCCTCCTGTAAACCTTTCCTTGACTTTTTGCTATGATGGGTTCATACAATATTTGTCCTTCTGTGATTGACTTACTTCCTCCAAGTCCAATCCTAGGACTGAGATTGGTGAATTATATAGTAATTCCATGTTCAATTTTTTGAGTAACTGCCACACTGTTTCCCACAGTGGCTGCACCATTTAACATTTCCACCAGCAGTGGATAAGCGTTCTGGTTTCTCCACAACCTCACCAATGCTCATTTATTTTATTTTATTTTTCTGTCATTGACATTTTCATGGAGGTGACATGGTACCTCGTTGTGGTTTTGAGTTGCATCTCCCTAATGCCTCATGATGTTGAACATCTTTTCTTGTCCTTGATGGCCATTTGAATATCCTGTCCGGTGAATTGTCTGTTCAAGTCTTTTGTCCATTTCTTAAAATTATGCCATTATTCTTTAAAATTTTGTTTATTGTAAAATATTTCAAAGAGAAACAAAGACTAGTACAATGAACCCCCCTGTGCCCATAACCTAGCTTCAAAAACTATCAAATAATAGCTAATCTTTCTGTCTTTACTTTTTAAATCCCTTCAATCATACCAAACTCTTCCCTTAATTAGCCATCTGTTTTCCCTCTCTCCCCTCCCCTCCCATCCCTGATAACCAACAAAGAAAATTTCCTTCCCTGTGTAAACCTTTCCTTGACTTTTTAGAATAATGGGTTCATACAGTATTTGCTCTTCTGTGATTGACTTCTGTCACTCAGCCTAAGGTCCTCCAAGTTCATCCATGTTAGGGGATTCACTCCTTCTTCATTATTCTTTAGTGTTGCATAGTATTCCACTGTGTGACTGTACCATAGTTTGGTTATCCATTCATCTGTTGATGACCACTTAGGTTGTTTCCATCTCTTTGCTATTGGAAATAGTGCATCCATGAACATGAGTGTGCGTATTTCTGTTTATGACCTGGGTCTCACCTCTTTAGGATATATTGTCCACTTTTTGGATTGAGTTCTTCATCTCCTTGTTGTAAAGTTGTGGGAGTTTTATATATATTTTAGATATTAGGCCCATAGCTGAAACATAGTTCTTCAGAATGTTCTTCCAATCTGGACTTTGATATTCTTTTAAAAATAATTTATTTTTGTTGTTAAAAATGAAGCCAATAAAACATACACCAATTCAACAGTTTCTTCATGGACAATTCAGTGACGTTGAAAACATTCTTCTAGCTGTGCAACCATTCTCACCCTCC